AAATCACACCTAAAGACAGAATGCTAAACTAAAAGTCATCAGATGAGAGGAATCAGTGTTTGTTGATGCTGCTAATGAATTTGCAGATCAACAGCATGTCTCTCAAAGTAAAGGTAAAAAGAGCAAATCAAAAACAAATGCTGAGAGCAGTGCTTGTTTGTGCCCTCAAGTGGGTAAAAATCTTATTGCAAGTTTGATCAGAGCTAAATACTGAGACTATGTTAACACACTAAAACTCATTTCAGCAGCTATCTTATTCACCCAGCAGATGAATGCACATATCAGATCTGAAAACATCGCTTTTCCACACCTTGAGACTCTCCTTGGCTTGGCTCAGTTCTTTCAGCTTCTTCTCTTTCTTTTCGACTTTGTCCTGGATTTTCCTTTGATTTAAAGCCAGCTGATTCTGCAAGAAGGCATGGTTGCATCCAGTGAGTCATTTAAATATTAGTAATCAGTAATGTTATTAACGAGTACGTCTGATGGCCACGTGTCGTTTGGGAGCACAGAAACATTTGGACTTTGAAAGGTAGCATTATGTGCTCGACTCCTTGCCCCCACCTTTGCCTTATCCTTGAGTGCTGAAGCGGAAACACATCCGTGGCCCTTGTGCTCATCCACTGTGCACAAAGAGCAAACAAGCTGCTCATCTTGCTCACAGTAGAGCTCCTTTAACTTGCTGTGCTTCGTGCACATTTTCTCCTGTATTGACACTGTAGCTGCCGCCAGCTCGTGCTTCTTCAACACAGCAACACTGTAGTGAGGCTCGAGGTGAGTGGGACAGTAAGATGCCAAGCAGGTCAAACATGACATGGTGGCTTTGATTCTGATCCCACAGCAAAAGTCACAGGCAACATCAGTTGGGCTGGCATAGACCAGAGAAGGACATGTTAACTTAGTGCTCTTTAGCTTATTCACAACCTAGACAGAAAGACAGAAACTGTTAGGATGTGCTGTAAATAGAAATAGAATCTTTTTGAGGCTGGCTTCATAAGGAAGTGTGTTCACATAAAAATGGTTAAAATGCCCAACTCTGGAGCTCAAATAAATATGTTGGTACAAACTGGTACAAAACCAGTTCCACTTGTTTAATTACATACACAATTACAGGAAAAAGGGGGGATGATTTCTTATGTAACAACACGACTAATACGTTATCTGTGAACTACAGAGTCTGTGCTAAGTTCATTTCTGTCCCCTCACCTCAGCCAGCATGTTGTTCCTCCTGAGAACAGGCCGATGGCTGAATGTCTCCCTGCACTGAGGACAGCTGTATTCACCCTTCTCCTCCTCTCCATCCCAGCAATGCTCAATGCAGCTTTTACAATAACTGTGTCCACAATAAATGGTGACGGGTTCTTTCAGAAGATCCAAACACACTGAACAGGAAAACTGAATGCAGTCCAGGTCAACTCCATGTGGCTCATCTTGCTGACTTTGCTGCTTGCAAGACATTTTAGTTGCGGTATTATTAAGAAACAGAACTGGACTGTCCCTGAGTTGACATATCTCTGAAGATCTTGGCAAAGAAAGCAGCAACTGTCTGCTTTCAGCAGAAGTGGAGAAGTGGAAACAGGTCAAGTGTTGAAGTGCAGTCAATGTCCACCCACTTTAATTGTCGTCACATTTGCATTAATGATTCATTTTAAAGGGGAAGATAGAACAAATCAGTTTATCAGTCATAGAGACTAGTGAGCATACAGAGTCTATAATTATCTGCTGCATTTGCATCTTTCAGAGTCTGAGGAATGCTCTTGGGGAAGAATAACAAGGCTTACATTGTAGTTTTACACTGTAGTACTGTTTGTTGCCTTGTTTTGTACGGTGTTTGTGTTATCATTCATCGTTGTGTCATCTCCTACACATTACTCTTAACCACAAAGTAACCTTAAAATAACCAAGAATCAACTGCATGTTTTTAAAACATGTGTAACAATAAAATGCAAAAAATACAAACTCACTCTTTTTTTTTCTCAAGTTCACAAAGGAGTCGTTCTAAAGACTGACGGTTGC